GATGGGGTAAAGAGAAGGGGATCAATGACTGATGAATTTTTGGTAGGATTCGGCTGCTGTACAGAATGCTAAATAAGGTTGGAAATTCGAAGAAGGATGGGAATTTCGGATGAATAGGAGGGTTTGTGTAGATTGACATAAAATTAACTATGATAGACTTCATATCAGACTGTGCTTGGAAGAAACCAATGTGAACTTCTACAATCTAAGTTCTATTTCGAGCTTCTAGCTTTGCCAAACATATCTTACAAGCATTACCAATTACCAAATCCAAGTGACTATCGTCGTTGTATCTCATTTCGTCAACCATAATATTGTTGGGATATATTCTCTCCATCACTCAATCAACTTAATAGCCTCCTCAAAATTCATAATATCATCCGCACTCTTCGCCACTCCCCCTCCCTTCACAATCCCCTCCTTATCCACAACCCAACTCCCACTCGTCTGCCATCGGTTTCCACTCTCCGTCGGTCTATTCCATATCTTTTCTTCGCGCCCAAGCTTAAAGACGGAAAACATACTCCAGGGATTTAATACGTGCCAGGCGGAACTAGTGCCTAATCCCCATTGCGCGTAGATTTCTCGATCAGAATCAACAATTACTTGGATGGGACCGGCGCCGCCGAGCGAGTCAAGCCAGGTCTCAGTCGAAGATGCTGTGGAATGGGAGATAGCTACTATGTTGATATTTGGGTGGGAGACAGCGAGATTGCGGAGGGTGAGGAAGGTCTTTTCTGCGAACTAGAGAGAGAGGGGGTTAGCTATGTATTAGACTTTAGAAGTGATTTCAGAAGAAGGCAATTGTCTTGAGGAATGCATGGAGAGTAAGATGCCAGAAGCAGTGTATATGTGAGAAAGAAAACTGGAAACTCACGGGGCAGCCGCAATGTCTGAGGAATGTGATAATAGTAGGGTTTCCACTAGGATTTGGGAATGGGAGTTTGGATGATGAAGGTGCTCTGGAATTGATTTCTGGAGGTGATTGGACGTCAATTGGAGATGGAGAAAACCATGAATTAAGTTCTTGTTGGAAAGTCATTTTAAAATTAGTATGTTTATGTGACTGTTGATGTAGCTGTTGATGTTGATATTCTCGAACAATCGGAGAAAGGGAAGCGACAGGATCATATCGATGATTTCATAGAGGGGAAAAAGCTTCGTGACGTGGGGTAGCTTTCTTATGCATGGCTCGCATGGGTCTGTTATCTTATCGTAACCCCTGTCATCCTGCCTTGTAAGGTTAGTAATGTATCAGTATCAAACAATTTGATCTTGGGAAGATTTTCCAAATTCCCCTTCTTTCGAACATCACCATATACCTGGGTTGATACCTTCATTGTATGTTTATCTGACAGTCCCGAAGTCTGCCATTCATATTCCCTAGTTAAGCTGATTATGTATTAAACGTTATCTTTCATGCGAGTGCTGAGCGATAATCAAAGCATACCATTTCCATCGCCACAAGAGGCTGTGACAACTTTGACAGCTGTCAATACTCAGAGCACTGGATACCTTTTTTGGGAAACCCCTGGAAGTAGTAGAATATGCATGAAGTCATTACCCTTCAGTTGGGGCAAAAGAGTAATTATCTTGCTACCCATTTCTGGAATACTCAGGTAATACTACATACATCCTTTTCTAGATTTGTCAACGTATTTTGACTTGTCAATAGGAATCATACTTTACATATTCGGCAGATCAAGAATCTCTTATTGATCACGATGTTCACTTTAGACCTGGTATTGGAGCTGACGGTAGTGAAACCTTCACTCCGAGAACTTTGATTTATGATCTGAAAGGGGGATTTGGTTCTTTGAGAAAGATTAATGCTTTGTATCAAATAGATGAACCGGTTATTACTGATGGATTATGGTAAGAAGTCTAGATGTATCGATAAGAAGTCGAGAATTTTGCTGATTTTAACTTCATTTCAGGAACGGTCCAGCTGTAGTTCAACGGCAAACAGCCATCCAACAGAGTTCATATCAACAAAGTTTGGAAGAAGGCCTCGAACCACCAAAGCTCACCTCAGAATCGGTGCGCTATTGGTCAGACTTCAATCGTGTCTATTATCATCCAAGGTCCATAGCTCAACTCAATGAGTATGAATTGAATTCATCTCTGATGCCATTCGAAAATTGGGATGCTGGTGAAGAATTATTCAGTTCCTTAGATAAAGAGCATGATTTGCTGGATCGTGATCTTAGACCTTTTGCCGAGGAAGCTGATCATATGCAAGGCATACAGATAATGGGAGGTATCGACGATGCTTGGGGTGGTTTTGCTGCTCGATATATGGATCGCTTGAGAGATGAATATGGTAAGACCACGATATGGTTTTGGGGTCTGGAGGATAATATCAAGGGAATACCCCGAGTAAGTTGTGGTGAGCTGAGGTGGAGTTCATATCAGTACTGATTTTGACAGGAAAAACGGTTCTTGAAGTTGTCGAACACGGCGAAATCAATATCGGAAATAATTCCACAGACATCCCTTTTCATTCCAATTACCCTACCATCGACACGTTTGCCAGGCTACGTCAAATTGGACGCGAGTTCTCCATGGGAAGTTTCTGGCTTGTTGTCTTCCGCGATGGAGAGCATGACACTGCCTTCAAGATTAAAGCCTCAAAATGGTACAAGGCAGACTTTAGACCAATTGGCAAGCACATTGAATGTCAATGGCAATCAGAATATTGCGAAATTACGCATGTCTGTGAAACAAAAGTCTGAAGCAGGAATTAATGATACCATTCATACAGGAACGAACGGACATTCGCAGGCCACAGATACGAGGATTACTTCAGGAAGAACTTTAAGTCGTGGTGAGGATGTGCCTGCGGAGAATGATACTGCCAATTTTGATATGGACTTCTTTCCTACAGAAACAGGAGAGCAATTTCGCGGTCCTCGGAAGTCCGGCAAGGTTCATGTATTTGGCCAAGTTGAGAATTATAGAGGAAATGAGGAATACGACGAGGAAAACGACAGGAATGATGAGGGTCGTGAACGAGCTCTTAGAATTGCTGCCAGTCTTCCATTGCTTTCAAAGTTAGTAGTCCTCTTGATTATATCTTCATTTTTCTTACTGTATTCTTATAGGACATATACACCATTATCTTTTCCACTTCTCGATAGTTTCCCTGGTATCTTCAACCATGAAGATGAGCACATCAGGAATCTCTCAATCAGCACATCTCTCTCGACTGATACGTCTGTGGCCCTGCGAATTAAAAGCCTTCAGCAAATAGTAAATAGAGCTATTGGCATGGATGAACGAGAGGCGCTCAGTAACTCTCTTGGCGAGATCGCGGAATCGTATGAAGAAGGTTGGGATAGTGACACCGACGACGATGATGATTAGTTGAGATGTAAGTAATTACGAATAAGGTAAAGATAGCTTGACTCAATACCACCCTAAGCCACCTAAATTTTACCACACCAGATTACCTGAACTTTGTCCCGACATTCGGTGAGTCTGTACGACTCGGTGATTTCTCATGCGAACTTTGTCAGCTTACATGCCGGGAAGAAAATTTCACGACTCAAAGCTGTTGGGTGGCGTGTTCGGTCACGGTATTGAGGCCTATTTACAGCCCAACTTATACCCAGCAACGACTGGGTGATAGGTCAACAGTGAAGCGAAAGCGACAAATAGTACCGAGAAAAGGCTACCAACGGAAGTCCATCATCGCACAATGTTAGCCTTCCGCCACATCTCTGCTTTCATTGTCTATTTTCCGAGGAATTCTTAATTGGATCATCGATGCATCTCCCTCGCAAAAATTTGTATCTCATTTGAAGCACAGCAATTGATTCATATTCCAACATATCCTGATTTTTTTTTTACCTTGGACCTCACCCCGCCTCTGTTATGCATGACACAGATTTTCAGCCCATTCAAATACAGGATCCTAGTAGACAACCTTCCCCGCATTCGCTAGTAGATCCTGATGCATCTTGAAGTCAAATACGAAGAAGCAAGAAGTCTTTCATATGCATCTCGAGATTTGCTCTAGTAATAAAAAGACATGCTCGGTCGGTACCCTGCGTAGGAAATCATTTAGCCGGAAGACGGAAGTCAGCATACTTCCTATGCAGGGGAAAATCACTCACCAATCTTTAAAGGTACAAAAATCGTTGTGTTACCTGGTTTACCGGTACAAAAGCTACCCAAGAAAATGACACACCACGTTTTTTTAATATTTCCAAAGGCCTCGAGAACGGACAATAGAGAACAAATTTTGTCACCAGGCCTCGCTTTCCCCCGGAAATGTGATTCATGAGGTGGCACCATGTTAGAATACTGTTTATCATGCAAAAGCTCGTGTTCCTTTCTCCTTCATGCATCATAATATTGCTTCCACAGCATTAAGCGACTAGGAACCCATGTTTATGCCAGCCTTTTCCCCACGACTGCAGCCTCCGAAATGGTTAACAATCAAGTGAATTGACATATGTTTATATACACGAGTTTTTCGTATTACCATACTTAGAGTTCCTATTTCAAAGCTTGGCTCGGAATTGAGGGAACTGTTGTTGGTCAGCACTATACTCGTATCCCAAAGCTACGTAGCATACTGGTTGGCCAGTTAGAGGAGACCTTTTTATGTCTTAGTAGACCAGAAAAGATACGGATACTTGCCCAAATTTGCATCGCCAGCATGAAATCATATGCGGCCTTATGAGATGTACTAAGATTGACTAGATATCTTTCAAGGTAGGATCAAGATTTCTTTGCCATTCCATAGATAATAGTCCCCTTGTTCCCGCATGTGTTTGTGTTTGTTTTCATTTTCTGATTGTCCCAACCTTCTAGCAAATATTATAATCCTCCAAACCTCCTCGCCAGAAAGGTTTGCTTTCAGACCTCTCTTTCTCTCAAGTACTTAAGTCGGTCGTTATACCCATTCTCTGTGGTGCAAAGTACAGAGTGTGCTATCGTTATACAAGTTTGACGCAGTACAAGTTCAAAACACGTTGCTACATATTGCAATCATGAAGGCAGCTTTCGCTTTATTGGCTTTGGCCACTTCGACTTTCGCTCAAGGGATCCAGGAAAGATGGTATTCAAGTCCTCCTGGTTATTCGAGCCCGCCTGGGTATCCCGTTGAGACTGATACTACTACTTGGACTACTTATACTTCAACCACTATCTGTCCTGTAAGTAATCTTCATCTTGTTGACATGTTGTATCACTAGGATGGAATGAAGATTGTGGGATTATCGTAAAGATTCCTATTGTTTGATCTCATTTAGAACATTGGATGAATTCATCTCTACTTCCTATCTTTCAGATAAACATCACCTTGTCAAAGGGTGAGGGGTGTCAATGTTCAAGAGCTTTCTCACATTTGAGAGGAACTTCGTCTTTTCCATTAGATGAGAATTTTCCAATAAGTCCAAGAAAGATTCAAATAGTGATGAAGATCTCATACTATAATGGTCACATGCTACCACGTTTAAAGGCAAAAGCTTATTCGTTTCTGATAGGTCACTTCAACCACCACCGAAGAAGGAACAACGAAATGGGTTACAAGTATCGCTACATCAACCGTAGTTGTCACTAGTTGTGTTGGAGGCTGCGGTGGAGTTGTCACTGTACCTGGCCCAACTGGATGGGCAACCACCACCACCGATGTAAGAACATTCCATAACGTTTACTTACCATTGAGATTGACTCATTTTTTAGGTTATCGTTACGTATACCACCACTTGCGCAGTAACGGAGACCGTCACTGCTCCCGGAAATACCTACACAAAGACATACACCACCACTTCTGTCGTCGAAACTGGTAAGAATTTTCAGGATTCACCCAGATGTTGACGAATCATTGCTGATATCTGAGTCTAGCTGTACCCACCACGATCGTTAGCACTGTCACTGCGCCCGACACTACACAGACGTATGGAATTCTTTTTAAATCCCTAAGCTGTTCTTAAACTAATATCTTCTGTAGTGTTGAAACTGGAGTGGTTGAAACTCTTACGAGTCTCTGTCCTATTACCGAAACAACTACCATTTCAGGAAAGGAAGAGACAGTCACTTATACGTCAACATCATTGTATACAACTCACGTTCCTACATATATTGAAGTCACAGCCACCGCTCCTGATAATACAAAGACGTATGGATTCTTCCCAAATTTCTACGCTTTTATTCCTCGACTAATGTCTTTCACAGGGTTGAGACCGGAGTGGTCCAAACTCTTACAAGCCTGTGCCCTATCACTGAAACTACCACTATTTCAGGAAAAGAGGAGACCGTAACTTACACATCTACATCGTTGTACACAACGATCCTTCCTACTTATGTTGTAGTTACAGCCACTGCTCCCGACAAGACGGAAACGTAAGCAAGCCCGTTTCACTCTCTTCTCTTTGGAAGCTAACTTCTTCCTAGCGCTGTCACTGGAGTTATTTCTACAATAACTTCTCTCTGCCCAGTCACAGAGACAAAGACAGTCTCGGGAAGCCTGGTGACTGTCATCTACACAACCACTTCATTTATTGTCACAAATGTTGGAACCACCATCGAAGTAGCAACTACTCTCCCAGCGAAAACCACCACGTGAGCATTCCTTTCTTAAATATATATATACGAGGCGAAGGCAACAAACTAATAAGCAAAATAGTGTTGCAACTGGAGTACTTCAAACTATCACTAGTCTTTGCCCTGTTACTGAAGTCGAAACCGTTTCTGGAATCGAATATACTGTTACGAAGACGTCAACTAGCCTTATAGTCACTGATGTATATACCACGGACTACTCAAAAACTACTTTACCGGGAGGAACTAAGACGTAAGTTTTTGGACTCCTGCTCTCCATTTGATATTGTGGCTAATTAAGTGTAAAGAATCGAGACATACGTCTATCAGACGTCTACTAGCTTATGCCCAGTCACTGAAATCCAAACAATCTGTATGAATCCCATTCCCAAGTCACATGTATTCAATGTTTCAAATGACTTGAATGTTCAAAGAAATAAATACTGATAGTCACCTTCTAGCTGGTGTTCCAATCACAAAAGTATATACCAGTACAATCGTCACTGAAGTACAGGTTCCTACTACTATCGTTCAATAGTGAGTTAATCATCCATGGAAAGTCGAAACATTGAGCCCAGACTAACAAGCTTCAGCACTACAACTCAAGCTACTGAATATAAGACTACTGATGTATACGAGACGACTACATGCATCGAAAGTGTATATACAACCATCAGTGCTGGATCAACGTAAGCTCAAAAATTTCTCTTCCTACCTAAAGAAGCATTATAGTCTGACATCTCCATAGCATCGTTTTGACCGCCACCCAAACAAACACCATCCAAGTGACCGCAGTTCACATCTTGACATCTACCCTCCCTGCCGCAACTGGCGAAACCACCGTTTATGTAAGTAGTCCATTCTCTTATCCCTTTCCACTCTCTCCCCACACCCTTCCCAACACACTCTAACCTCATCCCCAGATTCCAACCACAATCGGCCACACCATCGAAACCATTGCCATCGTCACCGTTCCCTCCATCGTCCGCACCATCACCCTCGGAACAACCTACTACGCAAACACAACCCACGTACAAACATCAACTTACATCCAACCCAGCACTTTGACCGTTGGGGGCCAGACAACGAGCTATTTCGTTCAGCCTAGCGTTAGCGTAAGTAGTATTGCGGCGACCAGCGTCGCTACGATTGCGCCTAGTGCGCCGGTGGAGGCGAATAATGCGGGGATGAATGCACCGGGGTTGGTGATGGGGTTTGTGATGGGGGTTTTGGCGCTTTTGTAGACGGATGAGTGGGTGATGGGGTGGCATTTTTCTTCTCTTTTTTTTTTATTAAGAAGAGAAGATGCTTCGATGCTTGGTTTCTTTTCTTCTCTTCTCTTCACTGGACTGGGTGGATGCATATACACACAATGATATGAAGGAAAGAAAGGGGAGCATTATGGATCTGGATCTGGATATGGATAATATTGAATGGCATGAGAGAAGGAAGAAGATAACGATATAACACGATACAATGTGGTAAGGACTGGATATTGGATATTTGAGGGGATACTTTCCTTGATGAATTCTACTTTGGAAAGCGGATGGGAAATGAATGGATGAGAGGGATGAGTGAGAGGGATTTTAGGGGTAATTCCTAATTTATTTGTAGATATTATAATTCTATTCTATTCGATTCAATTTTGTCCTGTCCTGTTCTATCTTGTGTTATGCTATCTTGAGTTGTTTCTTCAAAAATGGATTTATAACCGTATATCTAATCCGTGGATTCTCCAAACCGCAGTTCAGCAATTATAATTATTAAAATCTTTTATTTACTTTTTGAAAGTAAGTTCGTAGGTAGATAGATAGGGAGGTAGGAGAGAATGGAGGTAGGAGAGAATAGAAGTAGGAGAGAATGGAGGTAGGAGAGAATAGAAGTAGGAGAGAATGGAGGTAGGAGAGAAGGGAGGTACCTATTATCCATCAAATTCCACATCTCACATTACCTACCTATCTACCTACCTAGTAAGTATCTTACTCATCTTACTCATCTAAATTGAATAATATGAACAGAACTAGGTATCTAAACTAATATAACATAAAATCCTCTATGATTATTCGGTGAATATTTTCTTATTCTTATTTATTTAGGGATATTTGTTGGATTAATTTGTTGGATTAATTTGTTGGATTAATTTATTTTCTTGATTTCTTTTCTTGATTTCTTTTCTTGATTTCTTTTCTTGATTTCTTTTCTTGATTGGTTTTCTCAGAGTTGTTTTCTCAGAGTTGTTTTCTCAGAGTTGTTTTCTCAGAGTTGTTTTCTCAGAGTTGTTTATTTTGATATTTTAGTTCTATACCTAGGTAGTTCTATAATCCTATAGTTCTATAATCCTATAGTTCTAAAGAGAAATATATATATATATATATTATAAAGTAGCTAGTATATCGATACTCAAGTAGAGTATAATATCTAGTAATCTTAAAGAAAAAATGAGATAGAGAGAAAGAGAGAGAGGAGAGAAAGAGATAAAGAATAATTATTTTTATAAAAGAATAGAAGAATTAATGAAAGATAACTTCTCTCCTCCTCTCATCTCTTCTCCTCACCTCGCATCGCCTCCTTTACTCCTCGTCTCATCTCATCTCATCTTCATTCCTAAAGTTTTATTTTCATTATTCTCAGATATTCTAATTCTAATTCTAACTCTTAAATCTAGAATCTCGACGTATTAGTTGATTTCTCTTCTCTTTACTAGCTTCTTTCTTATAATTAGATAGATAGATAGATAGATAGATAAATAGATAAATTCCTAGGAAGATAGATATTCAAAAATCATTCATATAGTTCCTCAATATTCGCTGACTTCCTGAATGATATAGGATAGATAATTAATATCTTTAATACCTAGATATGTAATTTTTGAAGATAGAATTATTATAGTAATATATCTATATCTATATCTATATCTATATCTATATCTATATCTATATCTATATCTATATCTATATCTATATCTATATCTATATCTATATCTATATCTATATCTATATCTATATCTATATCTACATATCTGAATCGAATCTCGCCAGAATTCTAATCACTAGGTACCTAAGTAATTCAATATTCCAAACCAATCCATCATCTCGAACCCTTATCAGCTTACTACCTCCTACCTACTATAGCATTTGAATACTCCATGCTTTTGATTATTAGAATATAGTGTGTATTGTTAGATACTCTGGTTTCTTTTTGTAAAGGTATTCATTCTATATGAAGTAAGTGATTGCTGAAAAGTGTTCAGCTGGTAGATATGAGATGCTACGGTTGGGTTATATATATACAAATGCTAGGGAAGGGAGTATTAGTGAATTGGTATGGATCTTGTGGTACCGGTATAGTGATGATATTGTTTTGTTTCTCGAGGGGGATGGTGGGTATTTGATGTGTGTGGTGTAGTGTGGTGTGGTGGTTTGAGATGGATGGGATGGGTGGTATATATATACCCGACGTGATAGACTTAGGTATATATATATATAATTGAGGCTCCAAAGGTTAAATCAAAATCGGATCCAAGAATTGTGCGGGGAAGGTGGAATGAGATTTCTTGCTAATGGTGGCACGTGTGGATCATTGGGTCTTGGGTCTAGAACTTGTGGGATTGGAGTCGATCGATGATGTATTAATAAGTGAGGTGATTAGGTAGGTGTTGGTTACTAGTATTGGATTTAGTACTGTAGTTTATAAGTATGCGTGTGGTGCATTTGTAGGTATGTATCAGATCTAAGATAAGATAGATAGATAGATGGATAGATAGATAGATGGAGATCTGATAGTCTTTTATTATTTAGGTTAGAGAATGGATTTTATATTTATGTTTAGTTGATTTACCTAACTAGTTTAGTCAAGAGAGAGAGAGATGAAATTATAGTTAGTCAAGAAATATCGAGTCTCGGAGTAGTTGTCATAGGAAGATTCAAAGATGATAATCTAATAGGTAATCATATATGTGAAAATTGATACAAGTCAAAGAGGTTTCATATATTCGCCGGTTGGAGATCGATCGACCGAAGAATGCCCAGGTGTCGACGGAATAAAGTTGGAGGGTACGTTCTTATGCAGAAAAGTGGGGATGGTATAGGGCAAGCACGAACGTAACGCGTAAATAGAAAGCACAGATTGGAAGTGAGAGTGTGAGTGAGAGTGAGAGAGAGTAGTACAGTAGGTATGAGAGTGAATTAACTTTGGATAGGATTCTTGATGAGGATGGAAGGATCTAAGTGGATGTGATGGATGTGATGGATGTAATGAATGGATCGAGGAATGGATATATAGCTAGCTAGTAAGTCCCAAGTAGGTACAAATCATAAATAAAACAAGTCGGCGTTTAAGTGGTTCGTACTAGATGTAGATGACACAGGAAGTAGAAATGCTTAACGGTAACTACCTAGGTAGAGATGATACTCGACTGGTCTCTTACATAATCACTCTAGTATTCGTAGTATACCAAAGAGTCATATCAACCATCCAACCATCAAGCCATCAAAGTCTTAGTGTCAATGCCGAGGTGGACCGTTCTTGGGAGGTATGCGTAAATAACATTTTAGTACGCGCTCATCACTATTGTCACGGTCATTGTACTTCATATGATCATTCTGAGATTGTTTAATTTTTTTTAAAAAAAAAAGCTCAATGAAGTCATCATCATCACTTGGACAGATAACAAGTACAGAAAACTTACTCTAGTCAATATCTAGCGCGCCTGGACACTTTCTTCCATTATCGATAGTCAATTTTATGGAGAAGGGCAGAAGGACGGACTCATAAAAAAGTGCACCGATTGTTTTCCAAGTCAATTTCAACCAATCATATAAAGACTGGACACTTTCCAAAAATGTAAAAAAGGTGAACAATTAAAAGGCTATCTACCACCAGACCAAATTTCGCGACCAAAGAGAAATCTCCTCAAAACTTCTTTCATCAATCAAATCCAACAACTTTATTTAAATACTCATTCCTCTGACTTATTTATACACATACACACACACACACACATATATTCATACACACATACACACACACACATACACACACACATACACATACACACACACATACACACACACACACACAATACCATACAATACAACCTCAACTCTCGATTCAAATATAAATTCAAAGATATAATTGTTTCCTATATCTTGATCGTCACAAATTCACAAAATTATAACCAATTACATCTCCCAATTTCCCCCTTCAGATCCAAATCTCCCAAGAAATAAAAAGGGCAAGGCAAGGAAGACAAGGCACGCTCGTAAGCAAGCAAGTACCTTAAACAAGGACGCGACTTCCGCGTGACGGGTCCACACGATAGGGAGAGAGGCGATTGATCGTATTGCATTGCATTACATACGTGATTATTGAAGGAAGGAGAACCGCAAAGAAAAAAAAAATTGTTTCTCTTTAAACAAATACAATTCAATTCAATACAATACAATACAATACAATCCCATTCCATTCAATCTAATAATCTCATCACGACATCTCAATAAGCTTAACAATTTGCTGCTTGCTAATTGCTGAGATTGCTGTTAAATCAATCCATCAATCATTCCGTGGCCCTTTTTGCCCGTGGTAAGTGATTTCATTATATCATCCGTCGCATCGTTACAACCTTCCCCTCCCCTCATGATAGGTTCCAACTCTTTGACACTTTATTCGCAAGGGGTACTGCACCTCTCCACCTCCCCCTCCCCCTCCATCTACCGTTCCTCGACGACACAATACTCATTGTTCTCTCTAGTTGTCAACAACTATCCCCAGCCGTACCCATTCACACGACAGACAACTTATGCGCAATAATCACCGGGTCAACGCTGTCGCAAAAAATTATGCATACAAAAATGCCAGCCTCCGCTAAACGCCCTTATCGTCGGGATTCGATGAGGGAAGAGATTGATATTCCTGACTCCTCGCCTTCTCGCCCTCCGAAGAGAAGAAAGAGGGTAAGTGCACTTCATCGTGGCGCATATGCCATTCCCACTAACAGGAGATGTAGGCTTCAGAACCCAAACCTAAATCCAATCATTCAACCTCCAACCAACAACCCGTACCCGAGATGGAAAACCAGGAAGAGATTATCTTTAAGCTCAAGAAACACTTGGGATTATTTAGTGTTGTACAAGTTCTCGAGGACCACGCGGACGACAAATATGAACAAGAGTACGGAGGAGGAGTTCAAGCTTTCGCAAAGTTGGCTGGAAATGGTTGGACTTATTACGTCAAGGATCAGGAGGTCCAGATTGGGCGCAACCCGGCCGAGGGTCAAGAAGAAGTTCCAGGAGCTGTTGCGGAGGTCGATATTGATCTGGGCCCAAGTAAAATGATTTCGCGACAACATGCCAGAATTTTCTTCGACGATGGCTGGCGAATTCAAGTCAATAGTCGCAACGGAGCCAAAGTCAACGGTACGATGTTTGTCCGCAATCACGAGCCAAAAGAGTTGCACAGTGGAGATGTAATCAATGTCTCGGGTATTGAGATGATATTCGTTTTACCTGGTGGCCCTTTCAAAATTCATCCGGAATACCTGCGAAAAATTGAGAGTACCGTGGACGATGGAGAGGAAGCCGATGAAGTAGAGGAGGACGCAGAGGATGTAGAGGATGCTCAGAGAGATAGCGAGGAACCTTCGGATGTTCCTTTGCCCCCTTCAACTAATGGAGCCCGCGCTCAGAATGGAGTTCCGCAAGCGATTGCTCCAGCGCCAGCTAATTGGCAACGTGCTGCTACTCCTCGCGCTTCTCTCAAAGTCCCAAGTTCTGCAAAGAGACCCCCCACTGGCTATTCGGCTGGCGGTACAATGATCATGAATGATTCTGAAAATGTCGACCTCAGTCTTGATTCCAATCATCATATCAAGCCTGGTTACAGCTATGCGCAAATGATCGCGCAGGTAATTTTTGAAGCTCCAAATCAAATGTTGTTACTGAATGGCATTTACCAAGCCATTATGGCCAAATACGCTTATTACAGATTTCAAGCACCCGGCGGCTGGCAAGTAAGTTACCTAGTATCTATTTCATCCTTTGATTGACTCCAAACTAACGAGGTAAAAAGAATTCTATCCGCCACAACTTGTCGCTCAACCAAAATTACGACAAGATACCACGTGGAAAGGATGAGCCTGGCAAAGGTAAAAAGTGGTTTATCAAGCCATCGTGCTATGATACAATCGCAGCACTCGCACAATCAGCTCCTGGCAGAGGTGGTGGCCACCGAGGATCTTCACAGCCAGTATCACCAGCCGCCGCTGCCGATCGAGGGTTTGATGATGAATCCAGTCCGGATTCTGTCGCTAGAAAAAGGAAATCTTCAGCTTCACGCTCACCACGTATGAGGCCACACCAAACCAACAGACCGCAATTTACTCCCGAACGGGCCCCCCGGATTCAAAACTTACAGCATGATTTCCCCGGCGATGGAAGTCCACTACCTAGACATTATCGACGAGTTCAGAAGAACGCCCCTGGCTTTTCTGATAATTTGCCCAATTCTCCACCGACCCTCTCATCTTCTTATCAACAGGATGATGGTAACACATTTGTCACGCCAGCTCCCCACCGTGTTTATCCTCATTTAGCACCGCCAAGTACTGCGCAGCGACCAAGTCAACATATGCCAACTAGCTCGCCTGCTCCATTTTGGACGTTCGCTGACGGTACCCCTAATCATGGATTTCGTGGTTATGATAATAGCCCTATCAAAAGGTTTCAACCTAGCGTTATTCCCGATAGTAGTCCACCTCCAATGCGACGGACTCCAGCTCCGAGTCCTACCAAAAGTGCAGTTTTAGGAAAACTTGAGATGCCAGATGTTGATGAGGTTGAAGAAGAGGAAGAAAAAGGATTTGATCTTACAAAGTAGGTTTCTCTCCATTTTCCTATTGCCAAAACATCTATTGACAATTTTATCAGGGGATTCCAAAGTATTTCTCAATTCCACCTCGAGAGTGTTGCAAAACTTACTGCGACACCTGTATCGGGCTCCCTTGCGGCTCGTATTTGAGTTACCTCGCCGATACAAATGGTCTTTGCAATTGTTGAATTTGTTTTCTTTTTACCTCTGCACAGTGTGAAGGTCCACCCTACCTACTAGCTTTATTTGTAAGCAAATTACTACTATATCGACGATTATACCTCCTGGACACTCCACCAACTCACCTTCACCTACTCATTTATATTTACATCGATTCATAATGTGGCGTTCTGCAAAGCAGGTTATCGGATTGGAAGGTCATTTGATTATGTTAAATTTTCCCCACGAGTCTTATATGTCAGGGTTGGGAGTATGGGTTATGCTTTTTGTTATGTACATTTATGGGTGGGATTGGGATCGGTGTTTATTTAAAATGGGAAAGAAAGGAAGGGAAAGAGAATTGGGGAATGGGGAATAGGGGGACTTGCATTTGATATTTGGTTTTTATGATGGATGGATGGGTGGGTGGGTGGTATACTTTAGACATGGACGATTATGATTCAATGGTTATTATGAGTGGGTAGGAGCTCATGGGGAGGAGGACAATGGATTACTGGTGCCGCTAGCCTGGCTTTGTTTGCTTTTTGGGAATGTATGTATATAGGAAGGTGTATAGGATTGAGGCTATTGATTAGTTAGGCTTTGATATCAAATTTGCTTGGAACCCTTGTAAGAAAGAATGTTGAGGAGAAAATCAAGGGTTTGTGGGTTTGTGAGATGGATGAGTTGGGATTGATGGAGTTGTGGGTAGGTACCTAGTAGGTATTTAATAAATCTTGGAATGGGAGGGAATCTGCTATATATAATGTAGGTATGCTACCGAAGAATGATGTATTGAAAGACTTTATCTACAATCATATGTATGCCTCGCTCTCCCCCTCTCATTTCGATACTAGACTTTATGGGAAGGGAAATTTTGAATCTTGGCTTCTTTGCAATTCTCGTGTTGCGAAATTCTCCTAAGATAGGCTAATATAATTATTGTGATACCAAAACGCCCTTTTTACAAATCCATAAACTCCATCCTTCCTAACAAAGATTGACTTTTCTTGACGTGCTTTCTGGTAAGTCCTTGTAACATTGCTGATCCAGGTATTGGCGATCCGAAGGAGGTCAGATGGAATAATCTCGTTGTTTCCAAACCAGCTTCTGGTGGCCAGCCGCAAGCCATATGTGACATCAATCTCAAAATCGGGTGCTTTCACAATTCCCTCAATCATCCATCTCCATATCATCAGCCTCCTCCACACCACCATCAACCAACTCCTTGAGCCTGATCTTCTGCTTTCCAAACACACTTCTTTGCTCTCTCTCCAAATCCAACTCGTTGACCTCTTCTCCCAACTCCTCGAGTCTCTTCTTCTCGCTGCCGCGCATCTTGGGGAGCAAGTGCTCGTTCTCTGCAACCAATTTTCGGTTGGCTTCTCTTTGTCTGGCCACATTGCCTTCCATACGCTTCTTGTAGAAGACACGTTCGCGACGGGCCCGGATTTCGGATACGCGTTGCATGGCTTTGAGGGTAGTGGCGATGTGTTCACGGTTGTAACGGACGGGAACGTTGCGGCGAGCGGAGAAGTTGAGGGTGCTGTCGACGACCATTTCTTTGCCCGCGGCTTTGCGGAATGCTTTGGTCCATTTGAGTTTACGGGGGTTACGCTTCATTTTGAACTAGAGGAGGGAGAATGTTAGTCAGGGCTTGGAGATTGAGCATCGGAGAGAAAGGTGCAATGGTGAGATGGGGGGTCTGTGGCGTTCTGGAGTGGAGGGAGATGGATGTGGTTTAGACGTACGTTCTTGTGGCATTTACTGCGGCAGAATCTAAAGGTTCGCGCATCGTTACGAACGAAGGTTATGCCCTTGCTTGGGTAGCAGGGCTGCGAGCAAAAATAACAGGTTTCGATTCTATTGATGAATTAGCAAAGGTAAAGATTGCGATAGATGTTTTTATCGTCGGGAAGATTGTAAATGCGATTGAGATCTCGAAAGTCCATGAATTGCGGAAAGAGACTTGATGTTGTAGATGGGCGGGAAAGTTTCTTACCTCATGTTGGCGGTATTTCTTTCTAAACCAGCTTGTCGTTGTGCTGGATTGTCGATGGATAAGTATGGACTTCAGAAATTTTGGAGGAATGTCCGACTTTTTTCACTAGCGCCATCCGATAAGATAGCGATGGCACGTGCTTACCATTTGACATTCTCTCAAAACAAATATCCCCTGTTTGTCTCTGTTGATTTTATTGTTTTTTCATATCGAAGAAGGTTCTCAAAACCTTCTCCTACTGTGATTATATAGTCGCCTTCATCAATGATTTCGATCTTTTGTTGATGTGATAGTTTCTTACATTCACCAAGTACCTCTTGTGACCAATTACAGTAGCGAGAAATTTGTATTCTGATATTTTCCTTCAAGAATCTTTAAGCTCGACACCTCAACATTTACAGATACAATGTCGCTCTATTATGAGGCAGCTGAAGTTCTAGCTGCTCCTACTAATCAGGGTGGTAGTTTGAGATCAAGAATTTTCAGCAAGAAAGATCTAAAATCACAACCAGCTCAAATCTATGCTCTGGCGATAGAGACGTGTAAATGGAGTCCAGTTTTGAAGGATGTGATCGAAAATGCGGATTTGTTGCGTTTAGAGCGAAAGGTTAGTATTGCGATAGATTGAAACTTTGAAATAGAAGCTGATGTTATTTATAGCTAACTCCAACTTTGTCTCTTCTTCTCGTCCATGACTTACTCTTGGCAAAGAGAGGAATTGCTCTCCCAGCTACTCATGGTTTACGGGCCTCAATTGAGCGGCATAAGGGGAGGTTGCAAGCCGAGTTGACCAAGGCAAGACTTCGGAGAAAAATGAGCACCATGGAAGCTTTGAAAGCTTATGTCGAGACAGGTCAGGAGAATGCAACTGATACATCCGAAGCACCTTACCCTCGTTGGATACGTATCAACACTTTAAAGACTACTCTTGAAGATCAACTCGAATCTACTTTTACTGGATTTGAACGTGCAGCGACGATCGATGCTGTTAGACACCGGGGGTCTAAACGCTTATATATCGATGTTCACATTCCAAATCTCATTGCTATATCTCCAAATATTGATCTCTCAAAGAGTGTAGCATACAAGTCTGGAGAAATCATCTTCCAGGATAAAGCGTCATGTTTTCCAGCATATCTCCTTGATCCTCTTGCTGAAGACGGTGATATTATCGACTCTTGCTCAGCACCTGGTAACAAGACCACTCATATTGCGGCTATTTTAGTTGATCGACTTCCTGAACCAGATGAATCTACTCAAGTTATTCACGCATTTGAGAAGAACAAAGGGAGAGCTGAAACTCTAGAAAAGATGGTCAACTTGGCAGGGTCGAATACGTTTACTACACTTCATGCTGGATATGACTTCTTGAAGACTGACCCAAATTCTGGTACATGCAAGAATGTTGGTGCTTTATTACTGGATCCCAGTTGCTCGGGAAGTGGAATTGTTGGTCGGGATGATATGCCCGAATTACATCTACCAGGTATTAAAGAAATAGTTGCCAAGCCTTCTAGAAACAAAAAGAAGCCGAAGAAGGCACCGGAGCCAGTGGAGACAAGTAAGAAGGAGACAAACAAGAAACGAAAGCGCGAGGAAGATGGTGATGCGTTGGAAGTAATGGTTGATGACGATGGAGTCGTTACTGCTGTCGATAGCGATGCCGAACTAAAAGCTAGATTAACTGCTCTTGCAGAGTTTCAGTTGGAACTTCTTCTTCATGCATTCAAGTATCCTGCTGCTCGAAAGATCACCTACTCCACTTGTTCAGTTCATGCCGAAGAAAACGAATCTGTTGTTCAGAAGGCTTTAGCCTCTGATATTGCAAAAGAAAGGGGTTGGAAAATTCTTCGTCGTGACAATCAAATCCGGGGTATGAGGGAATGGCCTGTTCGAGGCTCTATAGAAGCATGCGATGGTGATGAAGTAGTTGCAGAAGGATGCATTCGAGCCAACAAAGGAGATGAGCATGCTACTATGGGATTCTTCTTGGCGGGGTTTGTGAGAGATCAAACATCAACTGTTGATCCTGAAGCCGGACTCCTGAGAGATGAACGCGGGCATCTCGTACGCGATTTAATGGGTTTACCAGTTAGAAAAGATCAGGAAGATGCAGAGGAATTGAACGTCGATGCCGAAATGGCACCTGAGGAAGCTCAAGATTTCTCACCGGAAGACGATGATGAATGGGGTGGCTTTGAGGAAGAGGTTACACCGATAGTCGAAGAGAAAAAGGAGGTGCATGCAGTTATGGAGAAGAAGAAGGAAAAGGCCAAGGTCAACAAACATGCCCATGATGCGATTAAGAAACGTGTCAATATGAGTGTAAAAGACAAGAAACGGCAGAAAACAAAACGATAATGTAAAACCTATTAGCCGAGGTGTTGTATATTGAAATAGAATGATGTTGCGGAATACCCATCGTCACCAATACCTATTGATCGGATAATATGAATGAAGATGGGGTTTTCCCGTTTCACATTGGGTTCATTCGCATGACAAGCGCCGGCACGGACACGGAATAGGTGCCAAAACCCCGGTTTCTTCAAGATGTTTGTCACATTCTAGACATAAGCATGGCGATAATTTTTATATCCGCTATTGCCAAGATTTCGCTCGGCTATGTCGGCACCTGTTAGACTAGAATCTACAATGATACACCGCAAGATGTATACCCATTTGGAGATTTCGATCCATGGATCCCTATCACTAAATTGAACTTTATTTTTTCCCATTTGCATAACCGCAACTTAGGCTATTCTTGATCCACTAAAGGGTGCGTCCTTAATCAGACTTCATGACATACCGGGAAGAATCTCCCCCGAATGTGTATAATTTCAATAGATGCATTGCATAATGTAAATTTATCAGCATAACTCGCATAAATGCTTAGGTATCTACTCGTCGGATGTTCCATCAGCGGTCAACAGAAAGGTGCTATTCAAAGTGGATTTCAAATGATGTTATATTGCAGATAATATATAATGTATGTTGTGCGCCGCAAAACGTTTTGAGTATTTTTCATATTCAGTCTCGCATTTCGGTGTCCGAATAATTTGGCAGGGTTGCATTTAACCAACCATACCTACCCCAAACTCGAATAAATCCGTAACTACATCATGGTTCGAACTTCAGATTCTAGTTCTTTAACTGCAACGAATATGGATAGAGATTTGGAAGAACAGAAAAATGTCCAAAAAAAGGCTAGACATTGGGAGTTGGTTTTCGACCAGATACATGTCACGCCCGAAGTACTCAATTACCCTTACAGAGGATCTGGGACAGAACAGGATCCTTATGTGGTAGAGTTCATTCCAGGCGATCGCAGAAATCCATTGAATTTTACCATGTTGAAGAAATGGACTATCACTTTACTTCTTGCCTTTGTAAGTTCTCCCCCTTTTTGCATCGAGGTCTCGGTTATTATTCTCCGAAGTTTGAGCTGTGTGACGGATGGGGGTGAGACATACATACTTCTCTTACACACATACTAACTGTTGTTGAAGGCAACCTTGGCAGTTTCTTTTGTGTCCTCGGCATATACAGGCGGGGTTAAACAGATCATTGAGGAGTTTAACGTCAGCACGGAAGTTGTCACTTTAGGAGTCTCGCTTTTCGTCTTGGGTTTTGCGATCGGGCCGCTTATGTGGGCTCCCTTGTCAGAATTATATGGTCGACAGGTTCTCTTCTTTGGCACTTATGCTATGCTTACTGTTTTCAATGCTGGGGCTGCTGGAGCAAAAAATATACAAACACTCTTGATCATGCGATTCCTCGCAGGCGCTTTTGGTAGTTCTCCTCTTACCAATGCCGGTGGAGTTATTGCCGACATGTTCTCTGCTTCTCATCGAGGAATTGCTATGAGTATCTTTGCTGCAGCACCATTCCTAGGCCCTGTTATTGGACCAATTGTAGGCGGCTTCTTGGGAGAAACAGAAGGTTGGAGATGGGTCGAGTAAGTTGCATTGCTTAATCACTGTTTATACTATGGCCCTAACACTATCGATAGAGGACTCATGGCCATCTTCACCGGAGCACTCTGGATTATTGGCACACTCACCATCCCCGAAACTTATTCCCCAGTCATCCTTCGTCGCCGAGCAAACAAGATGTCCTCCATGACGGGAAAAGTTTACAAATCCAGGATAGAAGTTGACAACGGCTCTAAATCTTTATCAGCAGAATTCAAAACGGCACTCTCAAGACCTTGGATTTTGTTGTTTACAGAACCTATCGTGTTCTTGTTAAGTTTGTACATGGCAATCATATACGGAACTTTATACATGATGTTTGGAGCATTCCCAATTGTGTACCAAACTGGACGCGGATGGAGTGCTGGTATTGGTGGATTGGCTTTCTGTGGTGTTGCAGTCGGGATGATGATTGCAGTTCTTTACTCAGTGTGGGACAATAAACGATATAACGCTACAGCTGCCAAGCATAACAATGCTGCTCCACCTGAAGCTCGACTTCCACCTGCCCTCATCGGAAGTATCTGCTTGCCTGTTGGTCTCTTTTGGTTCGCATGGACAAATTCTCCAAGCGTACATTGGATTGTCAGTATCATAGGCACTGCTCCCTTTGGATGTGGGATGGTATTGGTGTTCTTGAGTGTCATGAATTATTTGATTGATGCGTATGTTCTTTACGCCGCTTCCGTTTTGGCGGCCAGCAGTGTTCTTCGTTCCTTGTTTGGTACGGCGTTTCCACTCTTCACTTCTTGTAAGTATTATCTAAATTCTCCATGACTGTGTGTCAAACAGATAACTAACTGTATGATTAGATATGTACCAAAATCTCGGCATTCATTGGGCAAGTTCAATTCCAGCTTTCCTCGCATTAGCCTGCGTACCATTTCCATTCCTCTTTTACAAGTATGGAGCATCTATTCGAATGAAATGCAAGTTCGCGGCGGAAGCGGCACGTGTATTGGCGGAGATAAGGGGAGCTTCTTCAAATGAAGATGAGGCGGAGCAGACAATAGAGGATATGGAGGAACGGGAGGCGAGAAGGTTAAATGCCCATGAGGAGAGTGAGAAGAATGAAGCTGTTTAAGATGGAGAGAAACGCGAAAAGAAAATTAATGAATGAATGAGAAGGGTGTGCGATTTGATTCCTTTAGTTTAGCGGCATAGCGATCGAGGAGTTTTGATGTGTTTACGTTTACGATCATAATAGAAGTTAGCATTTTGAAGGTGTTGGGAAGAGGGTAATGTAGGGTTTGACTTGTTTCTTATTAGATATCCCATGAAGCATATGAAAGATACTCGGCTCAAAAGTAAAACTATATTTTTAAAAACACAAATGGTCCAGAATGATGGTGTAGGAAGTTACGAGTACCTAGTGATTTCATTAAGGTGATGCGGCTTTGAATTCCTCCATAAGCCACATCCGTGCACGAGTTCCCCCATATTGCATCCCATCCTTTTCCAACCTTCAAAACCCATTCATCACAGCTTCCTACGGAGATTTACACCATACTTATCAACGTTCGATACAACATAAAATTGTATGTAAATATGCACGGCGCATTACGAAACGTTCCTGCAAGCATTGGAAATATGGATGGGTGGCACCGAATGGCCAAGTCAGACCCCTTCTGAATACTGAGCTGTTGGATTGATGTTTGCTGAAGACCTCAAAGTTGCCTAAGCTGGTGAATTCAATACTGAATGCAATTTCGATTTTATATGTTCTGATACAAGTCTCGATTTCTGTCAATAATGTTGCAAGGCACATTTTTGGCTGTAATTGTCGGCAGGATCAGCCCGTCCATACAATGCATAGTTAATTTGGTTATTGTGTACCTGCATCTATCACCAACTTTTGGTCACTCATCGGCACATCCGTATCTGAACAACTCCCATCGAATTGCCATCAATCGTGTCTAAATTGCAGGTGGCGTGTCCTCACATGGTTTTGTTGGGGGGAGGGAATCTTGATATCCCGTTCCGCTGGGACATCACGCCGCGAAGCCGCATTATTGATTTGATATCACACTCCTTATCTTGATTCATCCGAGATTATGGGGAACCACCCCCAGATCCTCCGTACCGTTCTACATGATATTTCATCTTGGTTGTTCGGAGTGCCGTGGTTTGTAACATTCACTTGATTCCTTAGAGTAAAAAGTATTCTATAATCTTATTTACATCATGTAGGCCCTTTTCAATTTCGTATTCTATATCTCCGTCGTTACACTCTTGGAAATCTATCCAAAAGTCATTCTTAATCATGGTTTCAATCCTCCCAGATGGAATGTCCAACATGGAGGCAACTGTTTCGTTTTTAATCATAGACACAATAGCTCTCATTTTACGCGTCATTTCCAGGATACAAACAAAGGGTACGACGACAACCGGGCGATTCATCCGCTACGATGACTGGTGGATTCTCGCAGCCTATCTGATGTTTGCTTCGCATTGTATTGTGATCATTTGCGGCGAGTACATACAATCACCAGAGCTGATAGTTCGTACTAACTGCATCGAATAGACATCACAAAGATATCAGGCACCCTCGAGCCATATCTAGTCATGGATCCAGATCATCGATTGAAAATGCTCGAGGTAGAGTCTCATATACAATCTTGCTTCTTTGTTAGTCCTGAGTTGACACTCATACAGTTGTTATGGATTGGTAGCATCCACTTTCCCTTCATCATCACGGCCGTTAAAATCTCAATTTTATGCATGTACCGCTCTCTATTCAAAACGACACCAAACCTCATTCGATGCGTGGATATAACAATGGGTTTAAGCACAATATGGTTCATAATCACTGTATGCTTGACGGTGTTCGGGTGCACACCTATCAAAGCAGCATATAATCTAGCCCTTAGGCTTGAACCCACCACACATTGCATTCCATACGGAGAGATAGTTCTTGGCTTTGAGCTACCCAATGCAATCTTGGATGTGGTTATTCTAGCCTTGCCTTTTTTCGTCATCAGAGACCTACATGTCCCTGTACGGAAGAAGATGCTCTTGTTCTTGGTTTTTTGGTTCGGTGGGTTGTAAGTAATTTCGTCCTTTCAACGATGCGAGTGACCTGATATTAACTAGCTTGTAGCGTTATTGTGACATGCATACTACGCATAGCATACTCATATCAGCCTCATGATCCAGAGCATTGTAGGAAACGTGAGATCATTTCGTTCTGAAAGTCACTAAAGTCTATATAGTTTCTGGATTCTCGACTGCGAACGAGTGGTTGATGATTGAGGAAGGAAGCGCTATTTTAGGAGCCTGCGTTCCGACATGTATGTTTGCACGAAATCCATTCTTCGATTCAAACTTCCTTCTTTCATCTTGTACTTCTTTTTCATCTCCTACAGCTACTTCAACTCTACCAATTTCCTTATTGCTCCCAACTCTTTCTCTCATGGGCAATTACTGATTTCTCTTTTTTGCAGTTCGACCCATACTCAAAACTTATTTTAAACTTCCAAAATCTGTTAGCGACTGGTTCTCTTCGACGCTGGGTGCCTCAACATTAACGAGCAAATTCTCCAAAAATCATTCGCGAATCAAAACTCAACCAAGTCAATTGAACGATCGATCTGTGCCCTCATATCAGTTGAAAAAGCTATCAACAGCCCATCTTCAGCGTGGGAGAGAATGGCAGAATCAGGACCTCGACACAGATTCGGATGAAAGCCCACTGGTTGACAATAGGATTTGGGTCACAAGGCATATTACAACTACCAAATAGACAAATTGATCAGAACTAGGTTCTGTTAATAATATTATGATTCCATTATTTTCCCTAATCAATAGCTTACTACTTATAATTGTTGCTCGCTTGCTCGAGATGAATGCTTGCTAGAGCTAAGATGGAATTCGTTCCATTTTTTGTATGTGTAGACGCAAGCATCTGCTTCACTTGGTTCAAGTGGATCGATTAGTTTCCTGTTGCGAATAGGTCGTCGATTCAGTCTCGCTTTGTTCTCACGTGCCTGTTACTAAAAAGATGATCCAATTTCGTCTCATTTACAGATTTTTGAAAGATTCGAGTCGGCTTTATTCTCTATGGGTCTCTCTTCCTTAAGATAGATTAGATCAGATGAAATACCAAAAAATGCATCATATCTTTTAGGTACGATTAAAAAGGCTTCTGACTAATGCTGAATACCATATGCTGTTATACATCAGTCCCCGAACCATATTCCCAGAGAGTCTTAGGAAAGTGAATAGTCATATCGAAGAAGTTGGTAATTCTAAGTTGGAAGTATCTGTTGATAGCCATGTTGGTTAGAGATTATCTCACCAGAAGGCCATCGAAAGGGATTCTTCATGGCACAACAACAGGATGGCTGGAAATATTAGGTCTTATACTTGTTCACTATTATGTCGAGGACTCTTTTCGTCACAGTTTTCGGCCCCGTTCAGAAATTGGTTGGTAATGCGGCCTCCAAGACCTTATGTAGGGAATTGCCCAACCATTAATAGAGGTTCTTTCGCGGTCTACGAGCCATTCGCCTGATCTGTTCATATTTATTTTAACGTCGAAAGGCATGTTGGAAGGTTATCGGTTGCGACTCTACTTACAAAGATTGATATGTTTAAGTATAAGAATGACAGGACTGCTAAGAAAATGTAAATCAAAACAACATCCTCTTTAATTACTCAATCATCATTACTATGACTTACTAGTATCAAATTCATTATATTGACTTTCATTTGCCAGTATCCAGTGCTTGAAACACCGTCATACCCTCAATAATCATACTGTTACAAGCTTCAACATGCCACACAATCCAGCTAGCCAAAGGGACAAATCCGGCAGAACTCCACGATCAACAACAAAGCCTCCTGCGACCAAAAGAGGAAGGCGTGATTCTTCTCTTGAATTATTCTCGGATGATGAATGGACAGATCTTGATCATGAAGAGTTTGATAGAAATCTAAATCCTAATGCATCTATTCAAGAATACTTTAGGAAAAAAGATGAAGCTCTCGCGAGACAGGCCCCTCCACCGAACGAATATGGAGATTTTTTGGGAAGCGAAGATCTGGAGAGTGTAGGGATATTAGGTCAAAAACTTTCAGAGAAGAGGAAGAAGAAAAAGGCGGAAGAGGAGAAAAAGCAAAGGGAGATGGAGGAAGCGTGGGCGATGGCCCCCCCTCCCGCTACTTCCCATCCTCGACGCGGTAATGAATCTGGAGAAACTCCTTCTCGCAGAAACATATCATCTTCTCACAGAGAAAGAGCACCTCTTGGTACAGACAGAAAGTCTACCCCTGCTCGTTCTGAACCTAAAACACACCATCCCGCTCCCTCTCGCACAGATGCACGTAAGAGTTCAGGGTCAGGTAAGAGTTCATCAGGAGATCATAGAGACAGCAAACGCAAGCGAACTACTGGAGGTAGTAGTTAGTTTGGTGTGAATGGCTTTGGAATAATAGAATATTAGTGGTTGATGGGTAGGCGTCAAGGCGTTTTCCCTTTTGGTGGTCAAGTATTTTAGCATCAGCAATTATGAGAAACGATGAAAAGGGTGTACCAACAGATTTGTCTCTAGATCCCATGCGTCGTGATTAGTCAAAATACACTCGTGACATCTCGCAGTTCAACAGGCGTTTGTTTGCAACTTCAAAATGCAAGATGATATTGATATCAAACACCACATTATCGGCAGCCGAAAGCGCTTTGTTATATTCTCCGATAGGCCTACTGATATCCTATTGTTCCTTATGTTTGAGGTGAGTACCTCGACTCCACCACAAGCACTGTTTTGATAGCTTGCCATGTGCATGAAAAGCTATCTATTCCTTTATACTACCCGAAACTAGAACTTAGTCTCCAAGTTAGGGATTACAACTCTCAGATTCTTTTCCAATACCCACCTCGTTGCATTCCTAAGAAATCTCATTGTCATATGAAGAGTTAACTCGATCTCCTGGATCTCTTTTTGTTGTTTCACATGTAGACTTCATCACACATAACACACTAGCACATTCCTCTAGCTCGAGGATTTAGTTGTTGTTTTTCCAAAAATTGGATATAAATAAATAGACCCATTATATCGAATAGTGCCATATTGAATATCAAATTACCAGATATTAGATACAACACACGATGTTCCAATCCTAACACAACAATATACCTAGTAACCGCGGTACTAGCTTTTGGCTCAAACCATCTCGATTTGCAATATATAGATAAATAACGCTAAAATTCTCCGCTGTTGATTCCAAAATACTAAGAAGCTAGCACATATGAAAGCGCTAGTCATCTCAACTATTTAAGCTCAAATGGCATACTAATAACCACAAATTTGATATTCCTACATCTCAACAACACGATTATGGTAGCAAAGAAAAACTTAGAAAACCGACCACCTAAAGCATAGAGAAGCCCAGTGGAAAAATTGGACAAGCCAAGCATCTTGTATCTTCCCACCCAGCGCATCTCATCCCAACCCAGTGAAGTGTCAAGAGATGGTATATCATCATCTAGAACCCCACATAGAGAAACGAAGAATCAAGACTACTCGATAGACAAAATAAATAGGTCGGATATTTCGAGATGAGATTGAAATTTACCTACTACTAAGGATTTAGACGAGTGATAATAAGAACTATAAGATACTAAAAACTTGAAGAGAAAGGGTGATAGGAGAAGAGCAGTGGATGGAAGAATGGTTAGGCGCAAGAGAGTATCAGACAACTAAACAAGAGTATTTATCTAAAGGAGATGAAAAAGAATTGCAGGTGCTGGAAGATTTATCTAGTGCTTGAGACTAAGCTTGAGGTTGAGTTCGAAGTTGATGGAATTGAGACTCAACATGAAGAGAATGGTAGGAAGGGGAAAGGTGGGGGAGGGGGGGTATTACTATTCAGAGAATGTGCTGAGAAACAGCAATATTCAGATTTAAGTTCTCTCTGAGCTGAGTAAGTTAGACTATATTAATATAATAGTAGTGAATAGCTGATGGTACATTCGCAAAGAATACACAGTATTGAAAAGTTTGCATTTAAACACCCCCAAAAACTCCATCAATGAAAAGACTCAACACCCAGGTTCTAAACACCGATAAAGTATCCAGAGTCGTATATCTAATCATTTCTTCGCATATTCACCCTCAACTTCACCAACAATAGAACAATATTTCCCCAGTCTAAACAAGATCCCCACAATCCCCAATACGAACCTCGCTCTCAGCTCTCCCGCAAAACCAACACCCAACCAACAGAGACCAACAAGCATTCCCAAGGCTGATGCGGCACTGTACATGCCGAAGTGAGATTTCTATATCCAACACCAACTAACTTTACAGTAGCGCTCCAAGGCTGAACATAGTAATATTATATCTGCGTGGAATGAAAGAATGAACAGGTGTACGTTTATGATTAATACATTGGTGTTGTAGTTTGTTAAAATCGTTGGTGGCGCGGTATGAGTGATTATTGAGGGCCAGAAATATGGGTTGTATTCAGGGTTAGAAATCTTGAGATGATGTGATAAGATGGATTTGTCTTTCACGTGAATGGATTTACAAATTGCAGTGGGGTGTTTGCTTCTGTAAGTGATAAAGAAATGTGTCACTTCAATAGGAGTATCTTCGTCTCGATTAGTGAAATTGAAAGCTTCTCCTCGAACAGCAAAATAATGCCAATCAATCTAATTGCGAGTTTTCAATAGTTCGGACTGTGCCCCGACAATGGAGCACTTGAAATACCTAAATCCAACCAGAACACTCAAATGATCTGAAAAGTTAAAGCAATTCTGAATGTTAGATCGCGTTGAAACATTAAAGCGTCAATCCAGCCCATTCAACACACTGATGTGATAGCGGTAACTGTAATGGGCATAATAGCACAAAGACTAAAATTATGAGACACCTGCATTGGATTCCGCAGTTCCCGGCACTTGTCAATCCTCGATAAATGCTGTATTCGGCAGTTGGGGACCTTGGAGCGACCAACTGTTATGCCATCACAGGTTTTCAGCGCGGCTATCCAGGTATAGAAGCGTTGGTGTATGTCACTACGCGAGCTGATACTGTTCAGCTTGAATGTTGAATAATACTGAATGTATTGGGCTCGAATTTGAAGGGCTTGAATATTCCTATCACGCAGGAACAATGCTTCTCATTTTGAAAAAAATGTAGGCACCATAACGTAAAAGCAGCTCCTTATCGTAAACATCATAACCGGGTCTCAGTGTGGAGGCATCGACCTTGTTTGTGCCTCTGACAACCTGCGCGTTTAATGAAGCCGCGGAGAGATTAAGTAGCGCAAAATTATTCTGTGCATGAGAACCATATATTGCCATGTGATGCAGCATACTTTGGTAATAATTTCACTCGTTGAGACACTTCTCAAAATAGTTTCATTCGATGCTATGCGGCTCAAGTGAAATTTTGGAGAAAACATACACAATCGGATAGTTTTTTCCCAACCATTTCAAGACACACATATGCTGGGATCACTCCCAAGAAAACAATTTTTCTCAAGTTGTGATCCAGACCGTGTTTTCCCCAACCTATCATCACAACAGCCAGCCTTGTGCTCCGGACGCCACATTCAAACCAGGCTGCCCAAGCGCCGGGGTTGAATATCACCGAGTAGATTGTGACAACATGTGTGATTGTGTTCACAGAGAAATTCCACAACACAAATCATTGGGGAGCCACGAATGGATGGGCCTTCTGATAACGATTGCCATGTCTTACATTGGAACGTGGATGGGTAAACCCGTTACACCGAGCCTTGTCACACGTGCAGGCAGAAATGGTTCGTGCCGTGCAACCACAGATGCGCAAAATGTTATACGCACTGCAGTATACAATTTTACAGCGTGGCATTATGATTGTTCGTATTCAGGCAATAGATCCCTTGCGTCAAAATGCAGAGCAACAACTGAATAGAAAATTAGATAAAATGGACACGAGAGAAAAGACAACGAAGAGAATGATGCTCTTCCAGATTGTCTCGTGATTTAGTTGACGATGAATACCAACATTGTGATTATTGATGTTGTGTGATGATGAACTTTGTTAGGATAAGTTTCAAACTTCTCAATAGCGCTGTCTTATTTAGGATGCGGATCAGATTGGCTTACACGCCCGGCTTGTGAGACCAGGGGGAATAAACGTTGAGCAAGATCAAGTAAGGGCTGGGATTTTGACTCCAGCTACTTCTCGGAGTGGCTTGACGGGCGTACAATGTTCCAGAAAAGAGCGGGTGGGGCTATTTTCTGCAGCCTTCGTGATGTGCATTATTAAAAATAAAGTTTCGACAAGAGGACTTGAGAAGCATATCATTCCTGATATGTCAAGACATCAATGTAAAGGAGAGATAACTGAAGAATCGTACTGTATCATTGGTTCTCACACCCCACCACTATGGCTCGGCTGGAGGCATGTAATATTTTGACTTTGTATGCCCGCCGCTGCACGCCCAAGTAAGGCCAAGAAAGTGAATCTTACAGCAACATGGAAACAGACTATTTCCATCGATGATCACGCACTGGCTGCTTCAATGGAAAAGGGAATGACGTACATGAAAGTCTCAAGTAAATCGGTACTAATGATGTTGATCAGGTACTGACTCACAGAGATAAGAATGAGAACCTTTCAAGATGAACATGAGGGGTAAATGTGAAAAGGCTCGTGACACGGTGACAGGATCTTAGGTGTCTTGATATGGGTCCTCGAGTATACATAGTGGGGACAATGAAGTGGAATGATAGGGAAGTATATTTTTCCTTCCTGCGCATTTGACGCAATCGAATACTTGAGATCCTAGAGTTGATAGAGAGTCCTCTGACTTGGAAGTGGAGTCTACACCGTAAGAGGCTCGAGAGTCGAGAGGATAAGAAAAGGTGGATATCAATCAACGTGATCTGAATTCGGGTATCAATCTAAAAACAAACAGAGTCCCCGGATCAACGACGACCCCATGGCCATCGACTGTCAGAATGATCTAGCTGGGGCCGATCAGGAGATATATTGATTTCATCGACTTATCGAAAGAGACATCGTCATATCTTGGTATTCGCGGTTGGAGAATAACCCGAATTGGTGGATTTCCATCATGGTAGTGGAGTGACTTCCAAGGCGACGAAGGATTTTGATGTTTTGTTAATTGAATCCAAGTTTAATGAGTTTGATGTGTTGTTTAGCTGTATGTTTGTTTGTGTGAATGGCATAAAGTAATGGTGGCTGGGGATAATCAAAATTTACTGGATGAGAGCTTGTACACATATGAGATATAGGCCTGATATTGGCCACAGAATGGATTTTTGTTTGGTTAAGCGATGGTTGTGGTTTAATGAAAGGCCCATGAACGCTGTAAAGCATGATAAGTATTGAATACGTGGTGCCAAAGGATTTCGATTGACCTGAATGATCAATCATCATATCATAAATGCGTTTAACATGACCTAGGGATGTTGTTGAAGGATTGGCGGATTAGAGAATGCCCAGATAGGTGGTGTCCATTGCAAAAGGTTGTCTTTGATTCTTCCCCGTATTGTGATATTATTGTTCCGAGGATTGTTTGGATAAGAATTGACAATTCATTAATTGACAGTTCACAATTGACATTAGTATGTACTCGAGGAGTTGAGGTACTTCCTTCGTAGCAGGATTGTCAAATGTTGATAAATATTGATGAATACTACCTGGCTATTGGTATTGTCTAAAGTCACCCCTCTTATCCGAGGTCCCGCCGTGGTTTATAGTCTTGGAAAGTTAGACTTCAGTACGAATGGAGTCAAAACTCTTTCCTTCAAGGGCGGGATGTCCGCTGTCAAGCGGACCCTTCCTTCCCTTCCCTTTCATGTGAATCACGATGTAAGAAAAAGGAAAGGAAAAGTTCAGATGATCTCGCCAATTGAGTGAACCCCAAATCCTCTTTTCTCCATCATAACCTTTCCTACTTCATACATCTGTAAATATATGAGTAAAGGCGGGGGGATGGATATTCATCGGGATCGTTGGAACTGAGGGGTAAAAAAGCGCGTCAAAATGTATGATGCCTTTTGGCTGAAACAACAGCTATGGGAAGTCAACTCAGATTGGATAGCGGGGCAGCCGATACAGGACAAGGAAGTCCTCGCATCGCATTTGCATTATTAACTGCAGGAGCACCATCGGACTTTCGAAAAATGCAACTGTCAGCAGAAAAATGTGTTTGCCAGGATGATGGCGAATTTTTGCAGTTTGATAGGTGGACCTACTACTTACTAGGGAAGTGTCCCTGAGTAAAGGTCATGAGCTCTGCGACCCCATTTTGGTGTCAATTAACCCGCAATGCCCTGGTTTGGCTTAGTACATGATGTATGTGCCTCTGATGTGCGGGAGATCTGTCGCCAAAGGCGGTACAGATATTGTTGATTGTTTGAAATCCTTTCGCAGATCCTGATAGGGTTTGCCATGTTTAGCTTGCGACTTCTTTCGAGGTGAAGCTTCGGATATTTCTCGATTTCCTGCTGTACCGTGTACTCTGTACGAGTGATCAATCAGTGGGGCATATGCAAACCAAGGGAAGGAGACCATCAATGATCGTTAAGACCTGCCAAACTAATGCTCGAGGTACATAAGTACATGCATGAGAATGCACGAGAATGCATGATATGCTAGGAAAAGCTATTTTATCAATGGAAGTGGGAAGAAGAAGAGAGATGATTTGTACTTTCCAGTACAGAATGGGGCAGATGAGGGTTATCTTTGCATGGGCGTCTGCATGATGATAATTACACAGCAGGAAATTGATAATCTGAGGTCTCGGCTCAGGAACACCTCTGCACCTCTAGATTCTGGAAACACTGACGATTTCTCACTTGGTAAGAAAAGAGATCAAAAATGGACCATACAAATTTGATAGATTTTAACATGCCGGGGCCACAGATACAATAAGTTGGGCCTTGATGCAAGCGACGTTCCATTTGATCTATTCGTCCATTCAGAGGATCAGGAAAAGAGGGGGGAGCAATGGATGGAAGGGTGTGCTGACAGTGACTTTGGTACCTGTCTTTATCCGGTATATCTGACGTTAGCTATACCCCCCCTTCACATTCTAGATGCTCAAGGTTGGAGGTCGGGAAATGTTGTTTTGCGGCTACTTGAAGTATAATCACAGTTGTATTCGGCGGTAAAAAGATTTTATAATTAGGTAGGCTCGAGGTAGGCTCGGTAGGCAAAGCTGATGACTGAATTCTACATCGCTTAGCCGTAGCTTGGAATAACCTAGCTGTGGACAAACTACTTCATTAGTGACATCCGAGTTACTCGAGCGTGCAGTAGAAACGTGGTGGTCTCATGCACTATGAGTCCTTGATGGGACTTAGTTTGAAGCTTTTTATTGGTTCATCTATCACCAATGGACTGAAAGGTCTTTCGATCACGTCCTGCTTTCCTTCCGGAGTTGCCATTGTTGTTTATTTACTTGATTTTGGATGAGTGACTCTGAATGCGGTAATGGACTGATTTTTTAAGGCTGGTGATGGAGATGAATGCTTGACTCTGAGCCACAAATAAAGTGGAAATGTCACATATCTAGTATGAATACTTCATAGATACTATAACCATTTTGCCGACATAAGATGATGCCTGGTGGCCATGAGTCTCAGATGTTTTGACCTCACATGTCAACCAACCCAGCTGAATCGATACCAAATAATAACCACTTTTGAGTCTATACCCGACGAAGTTACAATATTCAAACAAGCTGTGCTGCATCTATTGCCCGTTCAACGACTTGGCTCCGCTTCTATTCGATCAGTATCATTGTGGCGCGTGTTGGTTTGCTAGATCTACTACCACTATTGAGACGTCTTTTGAATTCTTCCGCGGTGGGGACTCTGATATCTTCACGCCAGGCTCTACTTAACTCAACTCCATTCTCTACCATTCGATAGAAAAAAAGCCAGGCTATCTTTTCCTAATATCTAGCCCAGGCCAGGCTTACCTCATTACTCTCTCCAGGTCTCATACATACATATCATACAGGACTCAGCGTCGTATCGTATGGTTCCAATTCTCCCGCTTGCATCACCCCATCATATCACCCCCATCATATCGAGTCAAGTCAAATCCATCAGCGTCATATTCAACTTTCATCGTACCAAGACCAAGGCAGCGAGGTCCATTTACCTGCTCTGGCCCATTGCCTATTGATGTTGACGTTGATTTGAAGTTCTGGGACACTGAATGCTTCAGAGTTACCAATCGAGTTAAATCCAACCATCTGTCGACTATCGAACGGATACTCCCTTTTAAAGTTCGACTAATCATAAAATATCTAAGGCTATCGACTAATTCAAATTCT